GGAAGGAACACGGTTCCTCACGGCCATTCCAGCTTCCACCAACATCAGTGGCCACAAGCCACAACCAGGCACAGCCTTCTGCCCTGGGGACAGGCGATTCTCCCTCCCATAGGGAGAGGGCACAAAGGCACAATTGCTTTAGAGAGGGTGTGAAAGTTTGCTTGGAAGCTTGTCAGGTAAGAAAATAGAGTGAAAATACACATTATTTGTTGCACCGCTGCTGCTGTCAACCTCCTCCGGGCCAGGTACTCAAGTGCCAAGAAGCAGGTGGGGAAAACACAAGAGCAAAGACCCCCGAGTATAACATAGAGAGGCATGTAAGAAACTCTGAACTGAATTGTATTATTTTTTTCCCTAGCAAAAAATAGAATTGAAATATAACGGGGAGAAAAAAAGATGTTCTTGAAACTGCAGTTAAAAAAGCCCAGGAAAAAGGCATGAAATTCCATTTTGCGCCCAAATATTCCTCTATCATCCCAGCTGAAATAAGTTTTAGATTGATTTTTACGTTGCCCCTAAAGCCGTAATAGAACCTTGAATGGTTCAATTACAATAGAAAGCAGAGAAGCAACAATCAGATAACAGTATCCTCACCAGTAAAGGGTATGGTCTCTACATACAACACATCTGTATACATATGTATCAGAACTTAAAAGCATTAACTGATTTGGTTAAGCTCTGCTAATATATTGGTATTGCTCATTTGCTTGGAGTCCCTCTAGTTCGCTTGGATTAGGAGAAGAGGCTGAGGTTAAACTGAAGTTAGCTGACACGTGTCAGCCAAGCCTGACCTAATCCTGGGTTTCTTCCTAGTTGTTGTGTCTTCCTCTCTAAGTAATATTAAGAAGAAACCACAGAGATGCAGTTGGGTTCCAAATAACTATTTTTAGTAGCTGTACACAAACAGACAAGGCGGCGTTGTACACGCTGGTGGCTCCACAGAAACCTTCTCCCCACGATCCCTGGCTGTCTCCCTCGTGGCCTCTGCCCTTCCCGCCAGGAGTCCTGCCACCCAAGATAAGGAGACCCCCCAAGGCTGAAACAGAAACAACCCATTTTCTAAACTCTATATTAATCTAAGTGTTGTCTAATACCTTTCCTCCGCCTGGTAAAAGAGGACCTTTATGACACAGTGTTGGTGACTTTTGAATTACTTGGACCTGGCATCCAAGCATCCCCAGTGAAAATTAAATAAGTGGATTACTCCTATGATTTTTGCTGGATCCAAGACCTGGGGAAACTCCCCAGTCATCTGAAAGCAACTCTCGAATCCGGCCTAAAAGTAGGGGTTTGATGAGCAATAAAGAAACGAAAATAATACAGCTTAAACCACAGAGGTGCTCGCTTTTACTGCCTTTCATTGAGCACACAATATTTTGCTCCCACTATTTCAAGGGAAATAACACTCTGTGCGACTGTTACAGGATGTAAAATGCGTACCGTGCTGTTCAGACGGAGCTCGTAATTGAAACATTTGAGCGCAAATAAAATCCCAAACGTAAAGTTTTTAATTTTCATTCAACCATGACATTAAAATTCTGGTTGTGCAGGGGGAGAAAAAAAAAATTACTACCTCAGAGTGCTTTTAAGGTCTATTCTTTCTGATACAGTGACTGGGATAAGCTCAGCCAAGACGCCAGCAGCTGCTGGAGTACTCCAGTGGCTTGTTCCTGACGCCACCGCCTGCTTCTCCTTTGTCATCCCTACTGCCGTACCACACCAGAGGTTGCCAAGAGGCTTATCGAGGCGATGTGGCCTGCTGCCTGCAACGCACGAAGGAGCACCACCACCTTCATCCACGGGCCTTCAGCCCCGCACCAGGGACGCGCAGGCAGCTGTTGGAGAGCGGAGCTCCTGTCAAGGCAGCTGTCCAAGCTTAGGGCTGATGTATCCAAGACAAGCCCCCACCGAAGGAACCAGCTCAGTCATCTTTGCCTGAAGGTGCATGACCATCATTTACAGGAAGGAGAAAGTTATCGTGCAATACTGACCTTATTCAGCAACTTCCAAGATGACACCAGTCTAAGACACCTCAGCTAAACCACTAAATGCTCCACACAGCCCTGAAAGGCTGGTTTGTGTCTTGCAGATCCTCAGACCATCTTCCCGAACGCTCGTGTTCACAAACTGTGTAAGAGCAATCTCGAACTACATCATGCATAAACACATCTTCCTCCTTACTTGCATCCCATGATCTTCACGGGTTGCCTGTTTCACTGTCCAGATGGAATTTAAGGTGTTGAATTTAGCCTAGAAAATGTTTAAAGGTTTGACATTTGCCTGCCAGAGAGACACCACCTCCCATCCAAAAAACCCTGCTTGCAGGTAAGGTACTGCTAGAGGCTTTGCTTTTGTGCTGCTTTCCTTTCTCCCCCTTCACTCAGACCATACTGACCATGGTGCTTCCAGAAACTCAGCCACCACTTCTCCTCCACGTCTGATGGACCAAATCTGCCAATTTCAGTGCCTGCGTGTCCACATGCCACCCAGCTGGGGAATGGCACCCTGATTTATCGAACCTCCAAAGTACAAGAGCCATCTCTTCTCCTGGAGTAGTGCAGAGAGATGTGAGGAGAAGCCTCCTACCTATTAAATTGCTTTATCATGGTGTTTCAAGTACTGAGTACGGAGAAAGGATGAGCTTGTGGTTATACTGCTATATAGAGATGTAGCTTCCAGCAGTCCTAGCCTCCTACCACAGATTGCCCAAATAGTTTTGAGCAGGTCAAATAATCTCTCACATCAAATTTCCCCACCTTTTAAGTGCCTGAGAAGGAAACATTTGCAACCAACCATGGAGCACTCAGACATCAAAATGGTGAGGACTATATAAACAGATACATATCTCACTGGCAAAGAAACAGGCTGATGTGTTTAATGGTTTATAATGGCTGTTTTAGTTGCCATGAAAGTACTTAAGAGCACGCAAGGCATCCCTGGATTAAATCTAAATAAACATAAACAGCAATAAAAACCGGCTTTTATTACGAGAAGGCCTGACTCTTGCTTGCACCTGTAAGTCTAAATATATGTTAACCGGATGTCAAACTACGCATTATAAGATGCTAAAAAGCAAAACAACATTACAGTCATTTGCATAGAAAACATAATGACACAGGAAGGGAGGTAAAACAAAATGGACAACTTGCTTGGGTCTAATTCAAACATCTTAGAAAAATGGCATTTTGATGGAGTCAGGACTGAGCTACCAAGGAGATTAGTGCCAGGTAAAGCTACAACAAAATGGAGATGAAAACACCAAATCGAGTCCCTGTAAGGTAGATAAATGAGGGTCAGAATGAAGTTAATTTAAATCCAGCAAGCTGATACAGAGGGAGTTAGAGAGAGCCGCAAAACAAAATGAAAGGCTCAGTAGGAGCCTGCACAGCCAGTGCTGCAATGTCAGAAACGCAACACTGTGCCATCTGAAACCTACCACAGGCACAGTACCAGGACTCGAGGAAAAAAACAAGGGTGGCACTCCTGGGGAGGAGATGCCTGCCAGGAACAGCCCTAGAATAAAGCACAAGGGTCCTGCAACCCACGGCCCCGACACAGCAGATGCATTCTGAGGGGAGGTTCAGCAGAGCCTCTGGGGAGGACATCCACGGCTGGACTAAAACCGCCAGAGAAACATAACGGAGCCACATCTGTTTACACCGAGGAGGAGGCTTTGACTCTTTCTTTTGCTCCCGCTTGGCATCCTCCTTTGGGTCTCTCATGGGAGAGAAGGTGACTTAACACAATAGATAATTAGCTGTAACGCATCCTCTGTGGCTATAACAACTTAACAGGGCTTATCTGAAGACCTGATCTAGGCTTCCAGTTATCCTTGTTCTCCCGGTTCCCTTCTCCCCTCCTCCAATATTTGCATGTCAGCCTGACAGATATTTCGTATGTAAGCTGAATCAAAGTGTTTGCATGTGCCTGTGCACGCTTAGGAGAAGGCAGGAGAAAACCACCCGATTTCAACTCGGATTCCCTGAGATGCGGCTCGTTCCATTTTCCCTTCCCTGACAAACAGAGGGAGCTGGAATAAGAAACGTCAACTTTGGGATCCTGCTCCACCGAACCACAACTCATTTAAAATACCGGAGTCTTCGTTCAAAAAAAAAGAAAAAAAAAAAAAAAAAAAAAGAAGAAAAGGGAAAAAAAAAAAAACCCCCAGGAAGTTGAGGCACAA